GCCATTGCTGTGGCCTTGTGGTGGCTTTTGCGTGCTGGGCGTGTTGGAAAAGTTCCACACCTGCGGTGGTCCCAGGCGCCGCCCCGGCCTTGGCGAAGGCCGGGGTCGGCGGATTAATAATGTGTTGATGATTTTAGAATTTTAGATATATTTTGTTTCACGAACCAAGTCTAACTTCGTGATATTATCCATAGAAAGTGGCGACATAAAGACCAGACACTGGGTGAAAAATGCGGCCTTGTTTATCAATGGGAATCGAATCGACGCGGAATCGTTGGATATTCTGGACACTGGTTGAAACGAACTACTCGGAGTAGTCCTATATGGGGACCCCTACCAACAAGGGGGATGACATTAGCTGCATGTTTTGGTGACTTTTCACACCTTCAAACCTGCTTCTGGGATGACGTATTTGGTCCCTGATCGCTAGGTAGGATGCATTTCTGAAGCGGATGATCGGACACTGGTTCAAGCCTCATCGCTGGTTTTCGCCTGATTGTCATTGCAAACTGATGCGACACATCGCCAGCTTGTAGGAAGTGTTGTTCTCGAATTCTATCTTCCATCCCCCATTTTTTGATCTGGTTGGTGGTTTGGAACCATGGAATTTTATGACTTTCCATATATTGGGATTTTCATCATCCCAACTGTTACTCACTCCATCATTTTTCAGAGGGGTTGGTGGCCCAACCACCAACCAGTCACAGGCTCTGCGGTGCCGGAGCAGGAGGCCGTTTGATGGTTTTTGGTTCAGGGATGTTCAGGGCATAGCGGCATAGCGGCATAGCGGCTTCCCACCACGTGGAGCATCAAGAAACATTCAGAAATCATCCAGAAATCATCAAACAGGAAATGACAATTCATCAAAGATGACCGAAATCGCATTTGGTATTTCTCATTTCTGGGCCAGATGAGTTCTTGGCAGGTTTGACTCCTTTCTCCTATCACCTTCAGCAGGGCTCAAGGAAGAGAATGTTCAGGACTCAGAATGTAGCTCTTCCTGTCGTTTTCGAATCAACTGTTGACTGTGCTGACTGATGTTTAGGATTGTTTGTGCATGATTCTGGCAAGATAAGTTTGCAAATCTGAGTGAGCTATCAACTTCCTGTAGGCTAACGGCACATCAACAGCATAAATAGCATCAACGGCGCACACGCAAGGCTTTTCAATGGCGCTGCCCAGCATACGCCTCGGTTGGTGTATGGAACAAGTGCCCAGCCACCTCCAAACTTTCACACAGAGAAAGGTGAAGTATTGCCATCATCACACAGGTTTGCAGCAAGATGTTCATTGTTTGCTCAAAGGATTTCAAACAGAATGTTTATCTTGTTTTTCTACATCCGCATGTGTGTGTATATATATATGTATATATATATATATATCTGGGTGAATTATAACGACCTCACTGCGACCTCACTGCGACCTCACTGGAATCATGGTTAATAAGGGAAGTCGTCCCCAAATGGCCTTAATTCAGATGAGTGAAATATTATAATTTACCCAGATATATATGAAGATCTCACTCGGATGGATCGAAGTGTCGTACAAGGTACTCTTTTTTGGCCAATCGAAGCTGCGCCTCCGGATTTGGGTCATGGGGCCGGGCTCGCAGACTGGCTGAGAATGCTCCAACCATCAACCCATTTCTGCAAGAAGCAATCTGGTTGACTTCCTGGGCTCAAGCTTGGAGCTCTTGTGGTTGATTTCTTCCATTCCGAGCACATTCAAAACGTCTCAGCACCACATTTTGAACATAACATGTTGAACACAAAAACACATGGGTTTGGAGAAAATCCCCCACTGAATGACAAAACAGCACTGGAGGAACACTTTTTTTCCAAACAACTGCAACCCCACAGGCTTTTTGGTGCCCCCTTTTAGTTCCAAGATTTGCAGCACATGCTGCCTTCTCGTTGCAGCAAGTGCGCCAAGCTCCTCATTGCTGCGGCCATTGCATCGGCTGGCCCCAAAGCTTTTGTTGGAATGGAGATGAAAGGCGACCTGTCCACTTTGCAATGTCTACAGATTGACATGGCTTACTTTCCGTGTTTTGGATTTGGTAGACCTTAATGAATGTACCATCCATGTGACCGTTATAGATTCAACTGAATAGCTGGGACGCTGCAGGTGCAGTCCGCGGACCCGAAGCAAAGCGAAGCCGAAGCGACGTCAGCGACGTTGCACGCGCTGCAGAGGCTGCAGAGGCTGCAGAGGCTGCAGAGGCTGCAGAGGCTGCAGGTGAAGGATCAGAAGGCGCCTTTGGGGGGTTACAGAAACCAGAAATCTTGCATGGTTTTATCATGATTTACCACTCTTCATTGTAGTGGATCTCCCATCATAGTGATGAATTAAAGATATATATATATACATATTATATACATATACAAAGAAGGTTCTTAAAGTATTTAAGATCATTTAAGGCTGTGGTTCAGATTTATTTGCCCCTAAGTTTGGAGAATCTTAGGCCACAGGCAAGCTTTTTTTGATGGGTCGAATGCCGATTTCAAGCGTTGACGGCAAGCGCCAGGAAAAGTGGTGATCCTTGGAGCTGGATTGCAAGGTGCGGCCTTGGCCTATTATTTGACCCGTCGGGGGGTGAAGCCATTGATCGTTGAAAGGGAGAAGGTCGCTGCAGCTGCAAGTGGCAAAGGAGGAGGATTTTTAGCACGTGACTGGGGAGACAGCATTACCAGGAAGCTCCATACAGCGACTCGGTCAACTTGATCTTGAGTCGGTGATCTTCGCTGAAGCCTTTCTCTCTACATTTCCGAAAGCATTTGATGTTGCCACCACTTCATTTTCCCTTCACTATACATATTCAAAATTAGATCCCCAAAAATGGGTGTCTCCGGTGTCGCCCATCCGACCTTCCAAAAAACATCAGGTGAGCTTCCAGCTGCATGAGGAACTGGCTGAGAAGCTGAAGATCGAGTCCTACCGGAAATTGCCGGTCCTTTCCGTGTCCCCTGGAAAGCGCAGCAGTCGCGTGCCGGATCTCTGCGAATGGCTGGATGGAGATATTGAGGACATTCGGATGATGGATCCCAATGGCGCGCAGGTGGCGCCTCTGGAGCTATGTACCAAACTCATTGATGCCGCAGTGGCAGAAGGTGCAGAGCTTCTAATCGGAGCGGCAGAAGGTGTAGAAACCGAAGCAGATGGTGACATCGAGCGTGTGACAGGCGGCTTTAACAAGACGTTTGCTGATGTCATGCATCCTGCCGTGTTTGTGCATCGCTTCTGTTTTGGCTGTCGAATAGAATTATACATGAATTAGTGAAATTCCGTGCCACCTGTGTCTGTTGATCCCATCACTTCCCAATTTCCCATCGCTGCACAGGTGTGGTCGTTGATGGTAAAGTTGTGCCGGCTGAGAAGGTTTGCGTTTGTCTTGGTCCATGGGCTGCACTCGCCCAGGACTGGTTCAACATGCCCGTGCCGATGACTGGGGTAAAGAGCAGCAGCATTGTCTACAAGAGCGCTGAACCAGTGAAACCCTTTGCCGTCTTTTGCGGGGAGGATCCCAGATATGGAACCCACTTGGAAATTTATCCGCGCAACTCCGGGGAAGTTTACATTTGTGGTATTGGTGGTTCGGAATATGTGGACGGGACCCAGTTGCGTCGCGGGGAACTGCCACCCTCAGATGTGAAGCCAGACCCGGCGAGGGTGAAGGCAGCCACGGCGTGCTTTTCGGAGATGAGCCATAAACTGGGAGGAGAGCCAGATGTGGTGCAAGCGTGTATGAGACCTTGCCCTCCAGATGCTTTGCCCATCATGGGCAAAGTCCCTCATGTCCGCGGGGCATATATTTCTGCAGGCCACAACTGCTGGGGAATCTTATGGGCTCCAGTGAGTGGTTTGGCCATGTCAGAATTGATCCTCGATGGAGCCGCAAGCTGCGTGGACCTGCGGCACTTTTCCCCCGCGCGTTTCGCGCGCTCGGGCAGCGCTGCGGCCATGCGGGGGAGGAAGATGGGCGCTGTGCCCGTGGGTGAGCAATGGTAAGGGCAGAAGAGAAAAGCGCCATAGCACTGGTGGGCATGGTGGGCACTGCCGTAGTTTCCAACGGTAAAGCAAACATGAGCAAACCACCTTTGCTGATGATTTCCTCCAGTGTCACGTTCTTGAGCTGCGAGGCATGCGAATTGAGTCTCAATTGAAGTGCGTGGCAGCCAGTTACTTACATGGACGTGTCCTAGATTTGCGATTACTCCCATGGTTTTTTTCTCCTCTAAAACAGAGCATGGGATTATTTGGAGTCTCAATTTCCCGCCTAGCCTACCCGAGGTACAGGTGGCAGAAACTCTGCAGTTGAGGCTGGAGCGACTTCAACCGAGCCCCAAATCATCCAGCTTTGAATTTCAGTGAACACATGGTGACGACGAACCCGGATCCACCATGAAAGAGGACACCTCCAATATGATTCAAAGAAATGCTCCGCGGAGATATTCTAACTGTAGAGATGGGATGCAACGATATGCATCAGGCATCAGGGATTTCTTGAAATCTGCGGTTGGTCATTTGGTCATTTGGTCATTTGGGCTTTGTCACCGTCTCCAAAGAAGTCATCTTGAAAAGTGGCTATGTCATGCTATGTCTCAGAATTCCAAATCACTGACCATCATTTCCGGATGGTCAAATACATCAAATGTGGGATAGCTAGACATCTATCTTGATATCTTGACATATCTACTGTATCTTGACACCAAATCTAGACATCTCTCGATATTTCTACATGACATTACATGACTCAATCCAATTTTTTCTTGGGATACCTAGAAATGGAGGTTGTCCGTTTTGTCATGGTACCCCTTTTTCATCATCTGACCATGACGACTCGTATTGGTTCAGTGATCGGGGATGCCTTCCAGGCCTGGCCAATCAGTTCTGGACTGGGGGAGTGGCTGCGGATGGGCCTTGACCTGGATGCCGGGATGCCCTGAAGCGTTTCACTGTATACCCTCTGGTAAACTAACGTAACTATGGAAAATCACAATTTTTAATGGGAAAATCCACTATTTCAATGGCCATTTTCAATAGCTACGTTAAATTACCAGAGGGTAGATGAAATGGATGGTGTTTTTTTTTCCCCCAAGAAACACCTATTTGGTTAACATGTCGTTGCCATGACATGTGGCTGCATGTATTTCTGGATATTTCTGGTTGTTTGGGGGTCCAGATGTGGTCAGATTTGTTGGTGGTCATATTTCTTGATGGTGAATTTGAAATATTTGAAGCTGCCAAATCGAAAAATGGCACATTTCATCAATTTCATCGTTTTTTTTCCCATTTTTGGAGAGACCTGGAGCGCTTTTTACCGCCCCGGGTTGGGACCTTTAATCTCCGGCACTGGCCACATGGAATCGTTGAGGTCAACACTCTATGGAATCCGAGGCTTCGGCATTGAGGCAGCCCGAAAAGTATCTGTTGATGATTCGTTTGGGGATAAAAAACTACCCAAAAAACATTGGGGATTATAATTTATGATAATAGTAATAATAAACATAATAATAATGATAATAATAATATAGCAATAATAATAAAAATACAATAATGATAATAGAATAATAATGATAAGGATAATAATAATAATAACAATAATAATAGTAGTAATAATAATAATAATGATAATAATATATATATATATACACAATAATACTAATAATAAAATAGTAATAATAATAGTAATAGTAATAATCATAATAGTAATAGTAATAATAATAGTAATAGTAGTAATAATAAGCCAATAGGGGAATCCCTATTAGTCCCGAACAAAACCAACCAGTATTTCATGGAATGACAGAGGGGTTTATTTCACACTGCTCATTCCAGAATATCATAAGAATCGGTGGCAGGGCTCCGAAAAGCTGCAGGCGACAGCACAGAACGTTGCCTGGGCAAATCGCTTCTCACAAGGTGCCGTGCCGTTCCTGGAAGTTATTAGCTTGTGCTGGTTCATCATCATTTTCCACATAAGAAGTGCCACTTAAATGCCCCATTTTCAGACACATGGAGGCAAATACTGCTTGTACGGCGACTTTGACCTAGGCTCGAGTCGATGTTTTGCTGGCCGTGCTCCTTTTTTTTGTGCTCCAGTGAATTTGTTTGTTCGGCACAGGTTGGGTCCCGGATGCGTCATTTGACGCTGTGATATCTTACTGGGTTTCGAGCTCAGCAGCTCCAGTGCCTCCAACTGTAGTGCCGAACTCAAACTCACGAGGCTCTCTATCACCACAATGTAAGTACTCAATGCCCGGCCCTTGAAGCAGCGGTTCCCTGTGTTTTGCCGATTTATATGGGGTGTATGTGAGTGTGTATAAGACATGTATATATATAACATTATACAACTATGAAACTATATTTTTGTATATAAATGCATATTAACTTGTCCGGAAACGTTGCTGTATATAGAATGGATTGTACACCGATAATGGTGGTATATACATTATATATATATATAGATAAACTCCTGTCAGAAGCGCAGCACGTTTTTTTTTCCCAACATCGAGTCCTAATGTCCTTTTTGCAGGTCACCTGATCCGGCAGCTGGTTCGAAAATTGCGACCCGGTGGACGGGCCTGGTTTGGCGGGAACGTGCCAAGCAGCGCGATTAACATCGGCAACGAACCCTTCAGGACACTGGATCATCAGGTTTGGTGCAGGATGACTTCGGCTTGAATCAATGGATTGGTTTAAGGGAAATTTACAGGAAACCCCCATATTTAATGGTAAAAACCATGGTTTCCTGTAGATTTTCCCTTAAATCAATCCATTGATTGAAGCATGTGCAACAAAAATATGTGAGCCCCAGATTCGAGGAGAAGAGACTGGAAGCGGTGTTTAATCTCCTTGGCTCAAGTGAGGCACTTGGAATCCGAACCACTAAAAAACGGACTTTTTTTACTGCATGTCCTGAAATTTTAGGCATCATTCATCATCATTCTACATCCGCAATTAGCGCCGTTTTTTGGATGGTAAAACCACCGTGTTTCACCCATGGAATTTGGGTGGCAGCCATCCCGAGGTCGGTGGCATACCCGTGTCGTTGGACTTCATGGCAGACGCTGGGCAATTGGAAAGCCTCTGCTTTGAGGATCATCCCACGAATCGTAACTGATAAAAAATGAGCCGAAAAATAACTCTGTTAGTAAGTCCCCTGAGTGGGGTTGTCCTAGTTGTCCTGTATATATATATATATAGATGGTTATAACTTTTATAACCACACTTACTATCCATTACTATCCACTTATCAAGTTGGATGATCCTCCAAGTGGTAATTGACCCTGGCAGTGGATTTTTTCGACCTCTCTTGAAAAAAGGCAAATCATTGAAGCCATGCAGTAGATCTCTCCACCCAGCCAGCTAAATCTGCATGCAACTGGAACATCCTAATGATGGGCCACCTAGGACGCAGCTCTCTTCAGAAGAAACTTATTTGAAATTGGTCCAAAACCAGGCAAGGACTCGGATTTCCCAAGATATGGCAGACTGGCAGACTGGTTGTGCCATTGAGACTCAGAGTGGTGGGCGGAGCTTTTCAGGTGACTATCTCTACTTCCATCCAACATATTCAGTCCTGCTTCGTAGAATGAGTTGAGAGCCAAAGTTGCTCTTGGCATGAAGACGATCGACGTGTTTTCAAAGAAGGCAATCTCGTTCAGCAACGTGTGATGAGTGAGGCAGTCAGAACAGCTGCAGTCGCCAAGCAGCCGCGACGCTGTTGGAAGTTGTTTTTTCGCTGCCATTTGGCCCAGATGTTGGGTGTGTGGCCTGCCAAAAGGCAGGCCCAAGAGAGGTGGCAGCCCTGGGCGATTCCAAGCCAAGTTCTTGTGGAAACAGCCGTGAATACAGCCGTGACTGAAATGTGGAAAACCCAATAAGCCACCAGTAAATCGCTTGCCAGAAACGGGTGGGTTTATCCAGCTCCATTTTTTGGTTCATCCATCATCAATCCCTACCCCTGGAATGCCTGATTTCGAGCCGATCCTGCCAGGGATGGTCAACTGGGAGAAGGCAGCGGAGTTACGGAGTTTGGGGATTTTCGGCTGAACATCACTTTATCATGGTTAAATATGGTTAAGTAGGGGTGAACCTCGCCCATTTATGGAGAACTCTCTCAAGCCCAGTTCCGAACCTCGCCATATTTTTGTCCTCTGGTGTAATCTGACGGTTAAAACTGAAACTGATGCTATGGTCTTCACTTTCTAAAACAATTTCACCGTCATCATCCTTTTTTACATTCATTGTTTTATCATTCTTGCTGATTTTGAAACTACAGGGGGAGCATTTACAGTACATTTGATGCCCTTGGGGTTGATTTCAATTTCATTTCTCATCTGTAGTTTGCCATTACACAAGGGACATTCAAATACAATGTTTTTAGATGTCAGTTTTTGTTCCTCATTCAGATTGACAACAGCGGGTTCTTCATCTGATAGTTCAAAATCTTCAGGGATTGGCTTTTTTGGTATTTTGCTTTTACTGCTTTTCTTTAGTGGCATTTATATAATACTTAAGATAATTTATAATTACCTTCAGAAACTCCAGCATTACCCTGAATATCTGCTTTATTTTATTATCTCTTACAATTGGAAATTTAGTATCATCAATGACACTATCTTCAATCACATCTATTGTATTGATATAACTATCAAAAACTTCACAACTGCTCATCCTATATAATTAGATGATATATTTTACTACTATCTAATTATATATGGATTTTTAGGCGCAAACACAAATCCATAAGGGGCGGTAGGTAAATGTCAAAGAAAATGAACTGTGCTGATTGAAACATAGCATCAAACAAATTCAAGAGCAAAAAGGCTTCAAATCTTCTACTGCTTGTTGTCATAGCAAAAAGAGACCGTGTCGGGAGTGAAAAAGAAGCAAGAGCCCAAGGGGTGGATTTTTTTTATTTTTCTAATTAACATTCTTATGATGGGTAATAATGGCAGTCTGTTCCATATTCTACCGACCCCTATTCAGGTAAAATAAGATATGCCATTTACAATAAATATTAGAAATTAATTTTAAATAATTTATATGAAAAAACTTGATGTTCCAATTATTAAACCACATAAATCAGCAGAGTATGAGTTTAAACAATCAAAATATGATGTAGCCCCTAGAATACCATTTTCACAAATTGTAGTGGGACCGTCTGGCTCTGGTAAATCTATCTTACTACAGAATATGATATTAGATATTACAGAAATTGTTTTGAGAGGGTGTTTATATTTTCTGCTAGTATCCACGTTGATAGTGTCTGGCACCCAGTGAAAGAATACATTGAAAAAACACTAAAAGTAAATCCGAAGAAAGAGAAGGTTTATTTTGATGAGTTCCATAAAGAAGATTTGGAAGAGATACTTGAACAAGAATACAAATTAAGTGAATATCAAAAGAAAAATAAATTGAAAAAACTGTTTGCTACATTGATTGTTGTTGATGATTTTGTTGATGCGGTTTCATTTTCAAAACACAACAGTATGCTCAATGCTCTTTACATCAGAGGAAGACATTTTGGGGTCAATGTGGTGAGTTCCACACAAAAGTTCAATGGATTGAGCACTATTATTAGGGTAAATAGTAGGCAACTATACTTTTTCAAAATGAGAAACTATAAGGAGATACAGACAATGATTGAAGAATTGTCAGCGCTATTGATAAAGAAAAACTTGTGGATGGACGATAAAAATATCAACAGTGCTAAAAAGACATTACTAGAAATTTATGAACTGGCAACTGAAGATAGGTTTTGTTTTTTATTTGTAAATTTGATGGAGAGTGATATTAATAGGGTTTTTATGATTAGATATGACAAAAGGATATTAGTAGATGATACAAAAGATATATAAAGAATAAAGAAGCAACAAATACCAAGAATATTTACAATCAGTAGTTTAATAATATTAATGTCTTTAATATTATTAAATCAAACTCCAACTACAAAGTTGAATAGCAGGTAGTTTATACATAATCTTATCAGATTTTTCCTTGTTCAATTTTTCAATTTTGCTATTGATTTCTTTTAAGGCTTTTATTTGTAATTAATCTATTCTACTGATGTCCAACTCTTCTTCATTAATTTTACTCAATTCTTGAATACAACCGTTTTCAACTGAACTTGGTTTATTGCCCATATTATAGGTTTATAATTTAATTATCTTTAGGTTTTGATTTTGCTTTTGCTTTTGCTTTACCTTTACCTTTCAATTCTTTTATCTCCTCCATCATCTCAAACATTGTTGCTTCTAAATGCTCTATTTTTGATTGTTGCTCTCTTACAGCACCCCATAAAACAGAAGATAATTTCACATAATTTAACTGTTTAATACCTTCATCATTTTACATAACAATATTCTCAAAATCCTTTGGTATAACTTCTTCAATTTCATCAGCAACAAAACCAATATGATTTTTACTTATGCCTATTTCCTTTTCATCTTTCATTTTGAAAGTTTTAGGTTCAATCTGTTTTACTATATCTGTAAAATTGTGCTCAACACTTTTAATATCATATTTTTTAGTTTTATCACTTGTATCGACTAACTCACCAGATAAAGACACACCTGCTACAACTGTTGTATTTTGTCTTGAGTTCAAAACAGTGCCTGACATATCAATCACTAAATTACCACCACAGTATATGCGATTTTGACCTATAACTTCTTACCTTCATCTACTTCAACATCGGTATAGAAATGTAAATTTTCATCAACGTGCTCATACAACATATAAATTTTACCCCAACCACTACCACCACTAATAGCACCTCTAAATTCAGTATTTGTATTGTCGCTTCTATTAGCAAAAGCATTAGCAAACATCCAGCCCGAAGAAACACCAGTGCTACTATCAACATTTAATAAGTTGGTTGGTGCTCCATTTGAAGTAGAATAACCAGTTCCTAATCTAAAGAATTCAACCCCGTTTCTATTGAAAACTACATCATTATCACCAGCAAAACTATCAAAACTATTACATAAAACCTGAGGTAATGATAATTCAACTGTTGATGTTATACCTGTCTTAAAAATCTGGAACACATCCAACACATCACCAACACCAAACGCAATAATACCATTATCAACATTTTCAGTGTTTGTAATTCTTAATACATTGTAATTAACCAAATCAAAATATGCCTCTTCATACACAAAGGATGTTTCATTACCACCTAGCAATTGTATTTGATTACTTGTATTCAGTTTAAAGATATTAACATCGTTTCTTTTAAACACCAAATCAACATTAGTAGCATTTTTTGTATTGATGACATCAGTTTGTAATTCAGTATGGCATACAACATCTACATTAAAATATGCCTGTGTTAATGACAATTGAAATTTTAAGTGTTGAGGGAATGGACTACCACCAATATAAAACCGATGGACGCCACCAGAAGCAAAAAGACAATAATCATAAGCAGTATTACCACCTCCTATATTAATAGAACGGATATAACCTTTACCAGTTCCTAAAACAACTGTCCCCCCAAGGACTAACTCTATGCCTGAAAGAAAATAAGAAGTTCCATTAACAGTTAAATCAAAACTACCAAATTGATCCCCACCGGCCCCACCGCCTATGACTACATCACCTTCTATTGTCTGTAATGTTTCACCAGTATATTTAACACAGTTTGATGTATCGCCCCTGTTGCTAAATTAGTAGGTTGATTAAATTGAATTTGTCCATCAGTCAGTGTTATATAATCAATTCCTGCTCTTTGAATTACTAAATTTGATGCTGGTTTTGATGATATTTCATTTATACTCGCTCCATCTGCTGATAATGATATACCACTATTTAAATCTAACGTGTTATTTCTTAAATAAAAGAAATCAGTAGTGTTTCTTCTAAAATTAACATCGGCATTACCTATACTATCATAAGTGTTTGATTTAACACCTCTTGTCATCTCTACTGCTTGTAGTGTCCCTTCTAATTTCATATATTCAACTCCGTTTCTTTGTAAAACTATATCACTGTTGCCATTGCTGTTTAGTGTATTTGTATTAAGAGTGCCACCTACAACAACATTACCTGCTATTGTTTGGGATGCTTCACCAGTTAATTTTACACAGTCGGAAAGGTCAGGAGTTATAGATAAATTTGTAGGTTGGTTAAATTGTATTTGACCATCTGCTAAGGTTATGTAATCAACACCTCCTCTCTTAATCACTAAATCTAATGGTGCTATGGTGTATATCTCCTGTGTTTTAAGATTGCCTCCACATTGGATTAATTTACTTGCTACAATTTTAGTTTCAGAAACATCATATTGTATATAAGTATCATTGTTGCTTTGAAAAAGTATATCATTTAAATTTAGAGCATTAAATGTATTGGACTGAATATTTGAACCTTTGATATAACCGCTACTATCTAATGATGCTACTAAGTGATTACCTAATACTTGTGCATCGCCATTAACATAAAAATCATTTGACGATGAAACCGCATTTATAATAATCTTTGATGTTCCACCTACACTTCCTATATTCAATGTTCCTTCCATATTTTGAGGATTATTTACATTCAGTTTTGTATCTAACAATGTGTCAGCCTCAGTTTTATTATATTTATTATTTAATAAAGCATCTGTCTCAGTTTTATTATAATAATTTGTTAAGTCAGTCGTGCCTGTTCCTCCACCAACTCCACCATTAGCAACTGCTGTATTTACATACTGCTCTGTTGCTAAATTTGATGAACCCGTTGCTAAAAGTTTGATAAATTCTGTTCCTATGATAGTATTGCCACCGTCCAATTGAACCATTAAATAATAAAATAATTGAGATATTATTTTATATTTATCTTTTCTTAGTTTTTGAAGAAAACATATTCATACATAAATTGTTGTATTTTTCTTGCTTTTGTTTTATGAATTGTTGTTGTAATACCAAATAGTGTTGAGCCATAGCATCAACTGGGTTGATGGGTTGAACTGGAACTGGTTGCTTTTTCTTTATTAAAGGTTGGGTTGGCACTTCTTCTTCTTCTTC